ACTTCTAAACAAGCTGCAAGGATTCAGAGCCAAGATTCCTGGTCTGCTGAACCAAACCTCCAGGTCCCCAGACCAAATCCTGAACAAGACACATGGACCTCTGAATGGATCTCATGGACTCTTTCCTGGAGCCTCATCCAGGACTGGAGAGGTGCCAGATGGTCTACCTGGAGCTTTGGATACAGGCTCCCTGTCCCCCAACCTCCAGACTGAATATTCTACTTTCCCAACACATCCTCCTCCTGGACAGTATATACTCTTCTCTCCTCCGCCCACCCCAGCTTCACCCCAGCTCCACCCCATGTTTCCTGACTCTTCTGCTATCGTACCCAACTCTCCCAGCCCTCTCCCAGCATCAGCCCACCCTCACTCCCAGAATCTGTCCCAGGAAGGATGAAGTCGTCCAGTCCTGCCAGCATCAGCAGTGTCTCTCATGTTCTTTTTCTGAGAGATAACTGCTGCTACACCAGACATCCTGCTTTCACTTGAAGCCTAAAGCCTTGTAGAGAAACACAAGAAAGAAAAAAGGAATATTTTTCACTGTACATCATGAAACTTCAGAAGCTATTTAAAAAAAAAAAACTATCTCCAATATTTGTCAGAGCAGCTAGTTATCTTTGTTCTATTTTCTGTACAAATGTGCAGTGATCTCACTAATTTTCTATATGTTCTTATTCATATGATTGTTCAGCAAAGTCCTGGCCTGGCCTTTGAATAGAGGAAGGGTCGTTTGCTTCACTTCACGTTTAAGTCCTTCCACTGTTTCCACCCTGTTTACTATCGTTCTGTGAGAGTCTGTTTGGTCCTCTATTCTGAAGATATCCTTATTCTTGATAAATGAGTAATAAGGGTCTTTAAAAGGCTGTTCCTAGAGCTCATTGTATTGGTGCATGCCCAGTAATCTTCAGACTCAGGAGGCTGACAGGAGTCTGAGGCCAGCCTAGGCTACATAGCAAAATCCTAGAAAGAAGAGAGGCTCCACATAATAGGCAGACGAAACTGTGAAAGAATGAGAATACCCAAAGCAAGCCAGAAAGACAGAAAAAGATGTTCTTCATAGGGGCAATAGACACCCCTCCTCTCCCCATCCAAGAAAGCTAACAGGAAGCCCCACACCCCAGGTAAGGCTGTGTAATACAGTTCAGTGAAGACCTGGATGTGACAGCTGAGCAAACAGCTAACACATCAGCAACTCAGCAGGAAACTTCACCAGGCCTGGGCTCCTGCCTCCCTCCTGTGGAGGTCAGGGGGAAGTGCAGGAAGTGGCATGAATCGGGCTCCTTGAGCCCACACAGCAGGAGGACAGCAAAAGAGCAAGTTGAAGGCTCATTTCCCATCCCCACAAGTGCATCTGAAAAACAGCCCTGTGTAACTACCATTAGCTCTGCTATGAGAGCCCTAAAATGAAGCCAAGCTTCTAAGACTTTGCAAATATTGTCCAAGTGCTAACTCCATAGGTTGCTGCATGAATATTAGTGGGAACTTTTTCCTCTCTTCCAATCCAAAGCGGAAAGGCTATCATATAGGTAGAGATGATCCCAGAGTTCATACACTACCACAAATAGCCCAAGGTCCTCAAAGGCAATAGGGTGAAAGCTAGGAGTTTTTTATTTTTAATGCTGACACAATTCTATAAGATAGGTACTATCCATCTGTATTTTGTAAATGAAGCAACTAAAGCTCAGAGAAGCCAGGTAAGTTCCTAGTGGTCCCATAGCCTGTGCAGGAAAAGAAACACCTTAGTGAGACTCACTCTGAAATCCATAATCTCCCCAGTGTGATGCATCATCTAGCATATTGTTCACTGATTCTACTTACTGTGAAAGACCTCTAAGCCCTGAGGGCTTAAATACGTAAACTACTAAAAAGCTTTGAGTAGAAAAACCAAACATGTTGGTAGGAGGTGACCAATTTGGACATCTCCATATGTTCCTCTCTCCTTACTATAGAGGAAGAATCAACAAATGCACAAAGCTCAAGAACTTCAGATGTCCAAATCTCAGATAGGAAAGAATTAGATCATCCACACTAAATTTCTGGATGAAGCTAAGGGAGGGAATAACAAGTGGAATTTATAATTTATTCAAATAATAAGTAGGTTAAAGCCAAGCACTGGTGGCCCATGCCAGTAATCCTACTCAGGAGGCTGAGATCTGAGGATGACAATTTGAAGTCAGCTGAGGCAGAAGTCTGTGAAACTGTTACCTCCAGTTAACCATCAAAAAGACTAGAAGTGGAGCTGTGATTTAAGTGATAGAGCACCAGCTTAACCAAAGAACTAAAGAACAGTGCCTAGGCCCTGAGTTAAAACCCCAGGTTTGGCACAAAAAATGATCTAATCTTCCCTTCTTAAAACTCTAATCCAGGGATGTAGCTCAAGTGGTAGAGCCTCTCCCAAGAAAGCATGAGGGCCTGAGTTCAAACCTCATTACACACACACACACACACACGCACGCACGCACGCACGCACGCACGCACGCACGCACGCACACCCCAATCTAACCTAAGGTTGAGTATGGAGAAGTAGGAGAATTCCAAGTATGAAGCCAGCCTAGGCTGTAGAGTGAGTCCTTAGTGTTTTGGAGGGTTTTGTTTTGTTTTGTCCATTGTGGGCTTGAACTGAGGGCCTGGGCATTGTCCCTGACCTCTTTTTGCTTAAGGCTAGCACTCTACCACTTTGAGCCACAGCACCACTACCGGTTTTCTGGTGATTAATTGAAGATAAGTTTCACAGCCTTTCCTGCCTGGGCTGGCTTGGAACTTTAGCCTCCTGAGTAGCTAGGATTACAGGCCACCACAGCCTGGTTGAGATAAGAAGAAAAAAGAAAGAAAACGATGAAAGAAGACAGAAGAAAGAATTCAACCCACTCTCAAATTATTTTGCTTGATTCTATCCCACTTCCCTTTGACACACAAAAAAAGCACAAAACCTTAAGTGAGGCATAGTAGTCTATATCTATAATTCTAGCATCCCTGAGACTGAGGTAGGATCTTGAGTTCAAGACCAGTGTAAGCTACATAACAAGTTCCAGGCCAAACTGGGTAAACCAATAAGACTATCAAAAAAGCAAAAACAAGTTCAGTGTGATGGTCCATGCCTATAATCTCAGCACTTGGGAAGTTAAGGAAGGACTATAATATTGAGGACAGCCTGGACTATTTTGTGGGACTCAAAACACAAACCTCCCTAGGGCCAGAAGCATGGCTTAATGGTAGAGCACCTGCCTTAGGAAGACCCTAACCCCAGTATAGGCAAAAACAAAACATTTTTACAACCACAACACTCATGCCTATTCAACTAGTTAGGTATTTTGTTTTGTTTTGCCATCTGGTCTACTATGACAGCCTAGACACTGTTAGCTCTCCTACTCTAAACTCACCTTTTTCTAATCCCTCAAGAAATCTGACCCTATTTTAAAAAGTACTAAGAAAAAAAGTGCTATGATTCCATAAAATTACATCCCAACTCTCAATACAACCCCTCAAGGTAAAGAAACACATTTTCCTCCTCCCTGCTGAGGGCCATTTTCAACACATTTCTCTAAATACTATTTCTAACACCTCATGTAAAGACCTGAAAATTATGGGGAAGGAAACACTCCAGGCATGCCAGCAGGGGGACCAGCATCTGTGACAAAATCAGGACATTAAAATAAACAGTTTAAAACACAGAAAGATACAGCACTGTCTTCCCTGGGGAAAACAGAGTCCCATACACTTTCCCAGAGACCTCCAAGGGCAAGAGGAAGACCTAGCTCACATGCTGAAGACTGGGTAATCACTATTTCCTTAGCCTTTTTCTTCCCCCACGAGTGACTTGAGTCAGGCTACTGTGTTGTTCTCACTGGCACTGGATCACCAACCTCATTGGTATTGGTGCCTTGTCCACATCACTGGTCTGTGCAGCAGCTTCCTGTTCAGTGTCACTGGTGAAAGCTACCACTTACCCTCCCTCTAAAGTTACCACCAGAATAGAGAGCAGCCATTTCCCCTACCTGCTTCCATAACCACCAACTCCCCTCTTCTGTCATAGTCCTACCCAAGGGCTATGTCTAAAAGCCTTCACCCCAAGCTTCCACAGAAATGAGCATTTCCAGGCTATGCAAACGACTCATTCAAGTCAACGTGAACTGACTTTCTAAGAGACTGCGGGAGTTGGAAGAACACGAGCAGGGCTCCTTGCCAATTCAAAATTCTATGCCAAATGGGCGGTATCTTCCGGGCCTGGGGTTCTACCCTCAAGAGCCAAAGCACAACACTTTCTCCCAGATAGAAGACCACATTGAGGAATAAATACTGGAACAGCCAAGAAACTGAGCCAACTCAAGCCAGATAGCAAAAGACTGGGGAAGATCCTATATTGATAGAGGTTGGCTTTGGGCCAGAAACACAGCGCAGATAAATTGGGGTTGGGGTTGGGGGGAAAGAATCACAACAAAGAAACCAGTTGAATTTGTTTTAAGAAGGGGGGAATAAGGATAAGGGAAAGTGATTTTTTAAAAAAAGTATATTGTATGTGTGTATGTATGTATGAAAATGACCTCCCCAGGTAAAAACTAATGTCTAACAAAAAATCTCCCCCCAAAAATTAGATTTTAAAGAAAATGAAATTTCCTTAAAGGGAGAAGGAAAACTGGGCATAGTGATGCAGGACTATAACCCCAGCACTAGGAGGCAGAGGATCTTCAGTTTAAAGTCAGCCTGTGTTGGGCTGGGAAGGTGGCTCAGTGGTAGAGTGCCTGCCTTGCACGCATGAGGCCCTGGGTTCGATTCCTCAGTACCACATAAGCAGAGACGTGGAGCTGTGCCTTAAGTGGTAGAGCACTAGCCTTGAGCTGAAGAGCTGAGGGACAGCGCCCAGGCCCAGAGTTCAGGCCCCATGACTGACCAAAAAAAATGAAAAAAAATAAAATCAGCCTGTGCTACACAGTAAAACTGAAACAATGGAAACAGTGTCTCAAAAATAAAAATAAGAACAAACAACAAAAACCTACCAAGGGTGGGAAAGGAATCTGAAAAAGTAAAGTTTAATTTTTTTAAAAATCCTATACATAAAAAACAACTTCTGGTTCATTTTAAGCTCTCCCATAGGGTCTTTCACAGTCAAGTGTCAGTTTCCCATTGAATCCAGACTACCTAAAGTTTCACCCAAGGTGGACATGAGTCAAACTCTCCTTAACAGGTGAACAACAGCAACTTTTCTTCAGACTTGAATGGTGTCCATGACATGGCTGATGAGTAGTGTGGCTGGCTTCCCAGGACATTCAGAAGGCCAATTTCTTCATCAGCAGATAAACTCTGGAATCCACCTCAAATCCATGCAGATTGTTGGCATCCCCCTGTAGCCTCATGAGTAGGCCCCCATAGGACACATAGGCAGAGCTGAAACAGAAGGTCCCCATCCTGAGTATGAGCTCTGGAGCAGCTGCTACCAAGCTCTCCATCCCAGCATGTGGTAGACAAGAGGCACCCCTTAGTATTCTGTCATTAGAAACCAAAAATTCAAAGCTGATGCAAAGCAGTGTATTTTGCTTTGTTTTATTGTTTTTGTGCCAGTCCTAGGACTTGAATTCAGGGCCGGGGCACTGTCCCTGAGGTTTGTTGCTGTTGTTTTGGCTCAAAGCTGGTGTTCTACAACTTTCTTGAGCCAAAGCTTAACTTCTGGCTTTTTTTTTTCTAACCAGAACTTTATGGAGTTTCTTGCCCAGGCTGTCTTCTGCAACCCTCAGATCTCAGCTGCCTGAGTAGCTAGGATTAATGTGAGCCACCGGTGCCTGACAAAGCAGTGTATTTTTTATCAGCAAAGATAAAAAAGGGAAGGGGTGACATTATCTTAAAAGAAATGTATTCTTTTTTTTTTTTGGAGTGGGGGGGATCCAGTCGTGGGGCCTGAGCGCTGTCCCTCAGCTCTTCAGCTCAAGGCTAGCGCTCTACCACTTGAGCCACAGCGCCACTTGCGGCTTTTTTCTTTTTTGCTTATGTGGTGCAGAGGAATCAAACCCAGGGCCTCAGGCATGCAAGGCAAGGGCTCTACCACTGAACCAACTTCCCAGCCCAAGAAATGTATTCTTTACCTGACTTATTTAACTGTAATGCTTGTGTACATCACCTTTATAATAACAATTTAAAAAATTTAAGGAGAAAAATATCTATGTGCCCCAAATTAGAGAAATAGGCAAGTAAATTAAGGCATAGTCACTAGAATGTTAAACAGCTATTAAACATTTAGGAAACATTTTCATCTAACATAGAAAAGAGATTAGAAAGCTTTATCATGAAGAACATTATCTCAAATTCTTACAATTCTCAACATTAATGACAGGAAAGTAAAAGAAGTTCTGTTGGAGGATAGGTACTAAAAGAAGGGGGAGAGCTAGCAAAGAAGATGAATAAAGATGAATATGATCCAAGGCATTTATTTTTTTCATGCATGAAAACTGAACAATAAAGCCTGCTGAAATTGTTCTAAGGGTGAAGGGGAGAAAGAAAAGTGATAAGGGGGGAGGGGAGGAGTAAAGTTGACTGGATACAATGTATACACATATGTCACAGTGAAACTCACCTCTCACATCTAATGTATGCTAATAAAACTTAGTAACATCCAGATGCTAGAGGCTCATGCTTATAATCCTAGCTACTCAGGAGGTTGAGATCTGAGGATTCAGATTAGTAACCTGCCCAGGCAGACAAATCTTGAGAGATACTTGCTTCCAACTAAACGGCAAAAAGCTGGAAGTGGAGGTGGTGTGACTCAAGTAGCAGAGCGCCATTCTTAAGCAAAAAAACTACAGAAGGCCCTGGCTCAGTTCAAGCCCTAGTACTGGCACAAGAACATCTCAAAAAAATTAAAGGGGCTGGGAATGTGGCTTAGTGGTTGAGTGCTAGCCTAGCATTCATGAAGCCCTGGGTTCGACTCCTCAGTACCACAGAAAAGGCCAGAAGTGGCATTGTAGCTCAAATGGTAGAGTGCTAGCCTTGAGCAAAAGAAGCTGAGGGACAGTGTCCAGGCCCTGAGTTCAAGGCCCCGAATGGCAAAAAAATAAAATAAAATAAAATGTACACATTAAAAAAAAAAACCATAGGTTGGGCACTGGTGGCTCACACCTGTAATCCTAGCTACTCAGGAGGCTGAGATTTGAGGATCACAGCTCAAAGCCAGCCCAGGCAGCAAAGTCTGTGAGACTCTTATCTCCAATAATCCACCAGAAAATCAGAAGTGGCACTGTGGCTCAAGTGGTAGAGGGACAGTAAAAACTGAGGGACAGTACCCAGGCCCAGAGTTCAAGCCTCAAAACACAACAAAACAAACAGCAACAACAAAACCCCATAGAATATTAAAAAATGTTTATGCAAAAGGTTTCCTCTTAGTGAGGCTGTGGTTCAAGTGGTAGAGCTTTTGCCTTGAGCTGAAGAGCTGAGGGACAGCGCCCAGGCCCAGAGTTCAATCCCCACCACTGACAAAAAAAAAAAAAGTTTCCTCTTCCTCTGGATATACATGTATAGGTAACACATCACATTATTACTCTGCTTACAATTTTCTTTCTTTCTTTTTTTGGTCAGTCGTGGGGCTTGAACTCTGGGCCTGAGCGCTGTCCCTCAGCTCTTCAGCTCAAGGTGAGCACTCTACCACTTGAGCTACAGTGCCACTTCCAGTTTTCTGGTGATTTATTGGAGATAAGAGTCTCACAGAGTTTCCTTCCCGGGCTGGCTTTGAACCATGATCCTCAGATCTCAGCCTCCTAAGTAGCTAGGATTACAGGCGTGAGCCACTGGCACCCAGCTACAATTTTCTTATAAACATATCTTATTTTAATTCAATTTGTAAATGAAAAAAGTAGGCAGACAAACTAAAGAACTAAGGATTGGGTTAGAGTAGTAGAACACACTCATATACACAAAAATGACAAAAGCCTAACAGTTTAGTCACTTAATGCTGCCAGTAATTCCACTCTCCTTTGAATTTCATAAAGCAAGATTACCAATTTCTCATCTGGATCACTAACTATTGGCAATGAGTTCTCAATATTGCAGGATGGAGACTATTCGCAGATTTCTTTCTCTATTTTGTTAGTCATGTGGCTTGAACCTAGAGCTTGAGCACTGTCCCTGAGCTTGAGCTTTTTCACTCAAGGCTAGCACTCTACCACTTTGAGCTACAATGTCACTTCCAGTTTCCTGATGGTTAATTGGAGATAACAGTCTCACTGACTTTCCTGCGGACGGGCTTCAAACTGCAATCCTCAGGTCTCAGTTTCCTGAGTAGCTAAGATTACAGGCGTGAGCCACCAGCACCTGGCTCTCCCAGATTTCTTTCTCTCTAGGTCTGAGGTGATTGAGAAAGACCAGCACAGGAGTCAAAAGCATGGTCCAAATTCTCAGAACAGGAAGTGTGAAAAGGTAGGAAGTTGGCTGGGAAGGTGGCACAGTGGTGGAGTGTATGCCTTGCATGCATGAGGCCCTGGGTTCGATTCCTCAGCACCACATAAGCAGAAAAGGCTGGAAGTGGCACTGTGGCTCAAGTGGTAGGGTGCTAGCCTTGAGCTGAAGAGCTGAGGGACAGCATCCAGGCCCAGAGTTCAGGCCAACTGATAAAAAATAATAATTCTCACCAGAATACAGAACTTACAGGCGTGTCGCTGCTTCAGTAGAAGTTTCATCTCCCTCAATCCTGTACACTTTCCCATACATGACATATTCAAACTGGTCAGCCCTGTGAAACAAGTGTGGCAAAGTTATTTCTCCATGATAATTACCTATATATGAGGTCCTTTTAAAATGGCAGCTGATGGGGCTGGGAAGGTGGCTCAGTGGTAGAGCGCTTGCCTTGCATGCATGAGTCCCTGGGTTCAATTCTTCAGCACCACAAAAACAGAAAAAGCTGGAAGTGGGGCTGACGCTCAAGTGGTAGAGTGCTAGCCTTGAGCTGAAGAGCTGAGCAACAGTGCCCAGGCCCAGAGTTCAAGCCCCATGACCAACCAAAAAAAAAAAAAAAAATGGCAGCTGGTTACTAAATGCCAGCATTATAACCAAACACCTTAGAAACATGAAGTCATTTAGTTTTCACAGCAATTCTGTGAGCTAGGCATGATCTGCTCTACTCTCCTGATGAGGAAATGGAGGCTGAGGAAACTGAGGTTACAGGTACTCAGCAAATAAGCAGAGCTGAGAATTGTACTCAGTAGGCTCCAAAGCTTTTCCATCACAAGACACAAGGCCTATATAGCCAAGGTCACTCAATAGTCATTTCTTTAGCCTTTAAAAAGCTGCATCGCACTGGGCACCAGTGGCTCATGCCTGTAATCCTAACTACTCATGAGGCTGAGATCTGAGGATCACGGTTCAAAGCCAGCCCAGGCAGAAAAGGCCCTATGAGACTTTTATCTCTAATTAATAACTAAAAAACTGGAAGTGACACTATGGCTGAAAGTGGTAGAGTGCTAGCCTTGAGCAAAAGAGCTCAGGGACAACACCCAGGCCCTGAGTTCAAGTCCCACAACCAACAAAGAAAAAGCCACATCTCAAACACACAATCAACCATTTCTTCAATATATAATAAGCCCGTTTGTTGTTCAAATTCCTTTTTGTAACTAAGATATTTATTAGCAAACAGAACAATAAAACCTGTTGAAATTGTTTTGGGAAGGAGGGAGAGTGGAGGGACTAAGATTGATAAGAATATATTGTAGGGGGCTGGGAAGGTGGCTCAATGGTAGAGTGCTTGCCTTGTATGCATGAGGCCCTGGGTTCGATTCCTCAGTACCACATAAGCAGAAAAAGCCAGAAGTGGCCCTGTGGCTCAAGTGGTAGAGCTGTAGCCTTGAGTTAAAGAACTGAGGGACAGCACCTAGGCCCAGAGTTCAGGCCCCACGACCAAAAACAAACAAAAAAAAGAATATATTGTAAACATGTGGAAATCTTCAATGAAATCCTTTGTATAATGTCAAATTTTTAAAAAGATCTCTATTAGAGAAAGAGATCTTTCATGTGATTGTTTCTAACATATTTATAAGATTATGTCTTTGTTGCCTTGTATGTCCCTCCCCCATGGTACAACCCCTGCTTTCACTATATATGATGTTGGTATATGTGGAGGAGAAGGGAAAAAACAAATTGTTAAAACAGGGATACAGGAGGACCCATTGCAACAATGAGATGTACAAGTCGTTATGTCGAAAAACGAACTTTACAACTTTGGGGGAGGGAAGGGGGGAGGGGAGGGGAGGGGGGAGGAGGAGGATATGAAGGGATGGGAAGGGGAAACAAAGGAGGAGGCTACAATGCTTGATAAGAAATGTGCTCATTATCTTACCCATGTAATTGTAACCCCTCTGTATAGTATTTTCACAATAAAAATATATTTAAAAAAAAAGAAAAAAAAAACACAATATATCCCCTATCAACCTCATCCCCACCTTTCACTTTTCCTAATCTCCTTCTTAAAAACAATTTTAACAGGTTTCATTGTTCCATAGAACAATGAACAGAAAGTACTTCAACCACATTCTCACTTCCACATTCTCAACAATACTCACACCTCCAACTAAGCCTGTTTTACTTTCCTGTCATTCATTTTTTAATTGTACTAGGGATTTTCACCATGGTGGTTATGAAATTATTTTCGTTTTTTTTTATTATCTTTAGGTAGTTGTACAAAGAATTTTCAGTCCAACATACCAATTTATGTTGGTTATAAAATTCCTTTTTTTTTTTTTTTTGGCACTGGTCCTAGGGCTTGAACCTCAGCCTGGGCATTGTGCTTTACTTCTGGGGTTTTGCTGGTTAATTGGCTATAATAAGGTTAATTGGCTAATCTCAGGGATTTTCTACTCAGGCTGGCTTGGAACTTTGACCTTCAGACCTCAGCCTCTTGATTAGCTATAATTACAGGCGTGAAATATCTGTGCCCAAAGGCTGTAAAATTCTTAAGTGTGCCAACTTTCTTCCCGTTACTCAGGTTCTGTTGATCATCATTTATTCCAGGAATAAAATAAGTCAATCTATAACAGTTATCTACTTAGCCCCTTCTCTCACCTGGAAGGTCTGTCATCTGTGGGGTTATATTCACCATCATCCAGGGTACCATCTTCATATAAGGTACTAGCTATGACCAATCTGAACTTGTCACCTGAAAAAAGAATATCTGAGAGTGAAGAATAGCTGAAACAAGAGACCCAAAAATTTATTATCTGTGATCATCTGTGTTCAATACTTACCCAAGTCTACAGGGTAAATCTGAATGTTTACATCCAAGATGAGGTCCATCTTGAAAGACTCACTCTCACAATGTAGTCGAGATACTGGGGAAAAGTTAAAAAAAAAACGAGGCAGAGGTTAGAGGCTCACACCTATAATCCTAATCCTAGCTACTCAGGAGGCTGAGGTCTGAGACTCAAGGTTCAAAGTCACCAAGTAAATAAATCCAATGGGCTCTTATCTCCAATTAACCAGCAAAATGCAGGAATCGTAGAGGCATGACTCAAGTGGTAGAGTGCCAGCTGTAAGTGAATAGAGACCTTGCATCCACATACCAGCTCCAGCAAAACAAAACAAAACAGAAAAAATCCCAGTTGGGGATTAAATGCTACAGAACATTCAATCTACCCCCATGTATATCCATGGGATCTGTTTTGCTTTCACAGGAGCACAGGATCAGGGGCTGGGAAGGTGGCTCAGTGGTAGAGTTCTTGTCTCACATGTATAAGACCCTAGGTTAGATTCCTCAGCACCACAGAAGCAGAAAAAGCCAAAAGTGGCGCCGTGGCTCAAGTGGTAGAGGGCTAGCCTTGGGCTGAAGAGCTAAGGGACAGTGCCCTGGCTCTGAGTTCAGGCCCCATGGCCGACAAAAAAGAAAAAGAAAGAAAGAAAAAGGAACACAGGCTCAATCAAAACAAGAAATGCAAAGAAAATATGGCAAGTGATCAGGATCTCCAAGAATTGAAGCTCTGGGAGCAAATAACATCTAGGTTCTAGCCCTGTATGAATGATTTAGAACCTAACTCTGGGCACCTCATTCATCCATCCAATGGTTTCTTTTTTCCTGTGTGAGACACTATGCAGAGGGAATTATCAGGATATATAAAAACTGATATCTGGGCTGGATGATATAGCTCATGCCTGTAATCCTACCTACTCAGGAGACTAAGACCCAGAGGACCATAATTCAAAGCTACTAGCCTGGTCAGCAAAGTTATCTCCAATTAACCACTACATCCAGCCTGGAGGCGTGGCTCAAGTGGTTGAGCAAGCAAGTTGAGCAAGTGGGAGGATCTGAGTTTGAACCCAGACACCAGCCCCTCACTCAAAAGAAAGAAACTTGTGGACCGGGAAGGTGACTCAGTGGTAGAGTGCTTGCCTTGAATGCATGAGGCCCTGGGTTCGATTCCTTAGCACCACATAAGCAGAAAAAGCCGGAAGTGGCCTGTGGCTCAAGTGGTAGAGCACTAGCCTTGATCTAAAGAGCTGAGGGACAGCTCCTAGATCCCACACTGGCCCCCCAAAAAAGTAACTCATTTCTTTACTGAAAATCATCTCAGTCTCTAGGCAAAGAAAGCCAAGGAGAAACAATTACTCATCAAAGGCAATATAGAGGTGTGAGTCAAGCTGTTAGCTTTAACTTAGAGAACTTCACAAAATGCTAGGATTCCAAGAGCAACACAAGGATGTTACATTTGGAAGCCAGTGGCTAACACTGGTAATCTTACCTACTCAAAAGGCTAAGATTTCCAGGGTTAGAAGTCAGCCTGGGCAGAAAACTCTGAGCTTCCACCTCCAAAATAACCAGCAAAAAGTCAGGCTGGAGGCGTGGCTCAAGCAGTAGAGCAAGCCCAAGGACCCGAATATTAACCCTAATACGGTTAATAACACTTACAACAACAAGAACAATAATATAGCCTAGGAGGTCAGATAACTTGCTGTGCAGCTTTGGGCAGGTTATTTCATCAGGAAGGAGGTACCACCACCTACCGCACTCACTCCTAGAAGAACAGGGCACAGTGTGTGGCATGCGCACGGCCCGGCGCGTGATACAAAGCAGGCAGCGACAATAAAGATGCCCAGGAGTTTGCCAGCATGCTGGGTAAGGGCCGCCCGCGTGAAGGCAGGGAGCGCTGTTTCAGTCTTCCCAGCCTTGAGATGTTTCCCGAACCTGCTGGCTGCGGCAGGCCAAGAGCCGAGCGCGGGCAGGCAGGAACCCAGCAGCGAGCCCGCAAGCTCGCCTCTCCCCGAATGCGCCCCGCGCCAGGCACCTCTAACTTACCACGGTCAAACTTTTTACCCTCGGGGTCAATGTCTTTCACATCAAAAATATCCTCAAACAGGATGCCCGCCATCGTGAGGGAGCCACAAGAGCAGCAGAAGAGATAAGCCCGCCGACACACCTAGGGGTCCGAGCACCTCATCGCGTGGAGCACAAGAAGACGAGGGGGGAAAAAAAGTGAATTCAAGACAGCGTCTAGGAGGGAGGATGGCGCGTGCGCACGGACTGGCCGTGACGCAGCCACTTCCGCCGCCTCCCTCTCAGGGCGTCTTAACTTCCGCTCCCAAAGGCTGCTTCGGATTGGCTAAGAGACGGAGGGTGGGTCTCAGATCCAGGTGACTCCGCCCAGGGCGGGGACGCGGTAGGCTCCACCTCCGCCGCCGGCGGCCGCGCGGCGCGGGTTGTGGCTCTCTGCCGGGGCTCCACGGCGCCCTCTTCAGAGCCCGGGTTCTGAAGAGTGGAATGCGTAGGGGCCTAACCCAGGCAAGGACCTTGATCCTTGGCCCACAAAAGCCCAGCCCTACCCTGCTGGTCCGCGTGCCCTCCGGGCACAGTCCGCTCCGGGGACGGGTGAAGCAGAACCCCGCCTCCAGAGAGCTGGCGGCGCAGGACGCCAGCTGGCATCGCGCCTCCCCCCGCTCCCCAGCGCGGGCCCGGCCCAGCCCCGTCCGGCCCGGCTCTGCAGGTCGTTACCCGAGCCGGGTCCGTCGGGCTTGGGAATTTGCCATGATGTCACCTCGAAGAAGAGGAAAAGGAAAGGCTGCACTGTCTCCGCCCCTGGTGCTGGACCCTTCCCACCACGGCGCTCTTCCCCGGGGCCCAGTGGTCTTCCCCCACACTGCACCTTCAGCCTGGCACTGAGCTCCGCACACCGCGCTCCCCCTCGGCATCGCTCCCCTCCACTTGGTACTGTCCTCTCCTTCTGGACACTGATCTACGTGTACCTTGATCCTGACATTGTCCTCCCTGTCGGGGAGCAGAGGGCAGGCCTTCGCTCATCCCGGCTCCTCTCTCTTACGGCACCCTTTCTGGGCACTGCCTCTCCCAAGTGCGCCTTCGTTCCTGCACTGCGTCTTCCTACACGCGCTGTCCATTTCCTGGACACTTGACTGCTCTGTGTCCCGTGGTACTCCCTGTGGTCACCCCATCCTGTTTTATCCTTCCAAGGACCCTGATAGAGAACGCGGAGCCCCAGCAGGCCGTTTTCCCAAAGCGGCGAGACGTCAGCAGCTACTCGGGTTTCTCCTTGGGCCCTGCCAGGGAAATGCGACCTCTGCTCCCCCCCCCACCCCACCCCACACCCGCCTCCCTGGAGTGGCCTCCCCAGCACCAAGCGCTCCCTTCCCTCGGGCCTCACCTCTTCCCCGCCCCTCCCATCGCCACCCCTTGCACACCCGGGCAGGTCGACCAACTCCAGGTGCACCTCCCTGGGGGAACCTGGAGGAAAGGGTGGGGATGTGGAAGACCGCCCACAGTCCCTCTCTGAGTCGCCCCCAGCCTAGCTCCGCATTCCCGGGCCGATAGCGGAGCCTCCTGCCCGCTCCCCGAGGGCCGCCTGAGCCTCTCGTTCCTCAAGGGATGCCGAGAAGGGGCAGCTCCTGACAGGTTGGGCCAGAACAGCTTGATTGAGACAGTTCTGCAGCCCCAAGCGAATACCACCCAGTCCCGGCATCTCCTGGCTCTCCCCGCCCCGCGCGGGGAGCCTGGGGCTGGGCCCGGCCCATCCACGTGCCAGCCAGACCCGCCCTCCCCGGGACCCGGGTGCCTACGCCTCTGCCCCCCGGCCTCCACGGCCAGTGGGCACGGGCTCGCGCGTTCCAAGCGCCCCCTGCAGCTTCTCCCGAGCCCGGAAGGCGGCCCCAATGCGGACCCTGGCGAGGCTGGGCCGGCCCCTCCGCGCGGGCCGGCAGGCGGAGCGGCGCAGAGGGTCCCGCCCTCGGCCCGCCCGCCGAGGAGGGGACGCGAGCGGGAGGCTGCGCCTGCAGCGCCCGCCCGGGACCCGCGGCACTCTGCGCTCGGCCGTCCCGGCTACGGGGACCGGACGGGTGCCGGTGCGGGCTCTGCGGGCCGGGAGCCGAATCCGAGGCAGAACCCCGGCGACCGAGAGCGGCGAGAAGGCAGTGTGCGGAGATGGCGGCCGCGGCGGCCACGGCGGCGGGGGAAGGGATGGAGCCTCGGGCGCTGCAGTACGAGCAGACCCTGGTAAGGGAAGCCGGTCTGAGCCCCCAAAGGGTGCGCTCGGGCACCGCTGCTCCAGGTGCCCCGGAAAGCGAGAGGATCGAGGGTTACCCTAGCCCTCCCTCGGCCTTCTGAACTGGGGAAACTGAGGCTTGGAAGTCTGAGAGGCTGCAGGGCCAAAGGGTTGGAAAGCTGCTTGCTGGTTTCTAGCACAGCCTGGGGGTCTGAGGAGGACAATGACACCAAGTGCTTGTCCCAGGTGTCCTTCCTTGGCTGCCCCCAACACACGTTTTCTTCCCAGCACCTCACTACCCCCATTCACACCCGTGAACTTTCTTCACACTCCAGTCTCCACCATTCAAGACATTCCGTGTCCCTGCCTTGTCCACAGCTCTGGGGTAGGCATAGGAGTCAAGAGTGGGTAGTCAGACAGATGATCAGATCCAAACCCACCCCCAACCCCTTATCTTTGGGGGCTTAAAATCGAGCATTGGCAAGAACTCCCCAGTTGATCCTTTGAGGGGAAAGGTGACCTACCACCGTGGGGGACCGAAGCTTTAAGGAGGATGGGTGAAGCAGGACTGGGTGTGGGAATTGGGACCTTTGTTCATGCTGGGTCTGGGCAGGCAGCTCCACCTGCCTTAGGGGTGTCCCTTGACCCCATTAGAAGCAGGGGTCCTATGCTCAGAGCTGACTCAGAGCCATTACTGTTACTTAGTATTTAAGAATCCATTTGGCCCTTCTTAATGTGTGGGGTGGGGGACACAAGCAAAGGGAATGGGTCCTGTGGCTCCTTTTTATCAGCTTGGTCTGGAATTTGCCCAGGAAGGTGGCAGGGAGGAACCACTCCAGGAGAGGGCCTGGGTTGTAACTGAGGGAGGGAGGTGCCCAATTACCAGAGAGAGTGACTCTCTGAAACTGGATGACTGGTAGAGGTAGTAGATGTGAGAGTAGAGCCAAGGGTAGAGGGGCAAGCCCTTGGAATCATGGGGGGGGATAGCTGTCAGACTGCAGAGGCCTAGAAGAGGGGCATTGTCCACTGGAGGAAGCCAGGCCACCTGTGTTCCGAAATGGTGTCTCTCCACCAGCAATATCTCCATCGCCTTCCCTGTGTCTCTATCTCTGGAATGAGCTTTCAGGGTCAAGCTCTCTTCTGGCAAAGCACTCTGCTCCAGCCTCTCCCTCTTACCCCTTTGTCTCTCCCTCACCCCTCCCACTTACTGTGTCTCTTTACTCCCTACTCTCTTCCTTCTCCCGGCGCCACCATTCATCTCCCTCCTATGTTTTGCTTTCTCTTACCTCTTTTCTCTGTTGCCCTCCCTCCTCTCTCTAGTTCCTTTCCCCTCTGCCTCTCCCATTCTCACTATCTGTCACCCTCTCTGTGTTTCTCTATCTTTCCCTCCCCCCCCCACACACACCCTAGGCCCAACAGGAGCCCTTTGTGTCCTGAAGCTCTGCGGGTGGCAGCCGGAATCTACTCCTCCCCACCCCCCAACACATGCCCAGCTTGGCAGGTCTAGCCATAGCTTTGCGACTCTCCCATCCCATCACCCCACCATCCCCAGTCCCAGCCTTGCCATCAGCAGCCTGTGCTGCCCCTGGGCCTGGGGCAGTATAGCTAAAGCCACTACCACATACTCTCCACTCATGCAGAGAGGCTTTCCACTCCCAGCTGGGCTGGCAGGCCAGTGGAGGGGGGGGGGGAGGTTAAGGGTGGAGAATGGGGACAAGGGGATTAGGGTGGGTAGGAGGAGTGCAGCTGAGTTGGTCACAGGCCAGAGGCCCAGCAGGAACGTGATAAGGATTGGGGCCCCGCCTGCTCCTAGGCCCATCTTGGCTGCCCTCAGCTCTACCAGGCTCTTATTGTTGCCCATATGCCCTTGACCATCCCTCATTCTCTGACCTTTCCTCCTCCCACCTTCTGACTGTGCCTTAGGTTTTTCCATCCTCTGGGGCTTTACCTCCCACTTCTCCTCAGGGCCCCTCTCCCTCGCCTGGGAGAAGACTGATTATTCCACCACCCCCAGCTGTGGCCCTGTACCTTGGCTGTCTCCATCCCTCTGACCAGGACAGCCCCCACAGTCTGCAATGTGCATTGTTCCCACACTCTCAGGCAGAGTGGGAACTGTGGGTTCAACAGGGGGTTTACAGAGTGGAAGCTGGGAGAAGGGGATGCCCAGGCCCCAGGAGGCCTCTCTGTGTTCCCACTGAATCCTGCACACTGATGCCAACATCCTCCCCCTTGCTCCAGATGTATGGCCGGTATACTCAAGAACTCGGGGCCTTTGCCAAAGAAGAAGCTGCTCGAATTCGCCTGGGAGGACCTGAGCCCTGGAAAGGGCCCACTTCTACTCGGACTCCCCCAGAGCTCCTGGAATATGGACAGAGCCGATGTGCTCCGTGCCGCAGTGAGACTTGAATTGGGGCAGAGGACTTGGCTGTGCTGTGCTGAGTGGGGCACAGACCCTTAGAGCTGCTGATGGGGGAGGGGGAGAGTCAGAGAAAGGGATAGGAGAATTTTGGTGCCACCCTCCCCATGGCTCTTCCCTTTCCTGCCCTAGTCTGTTCCGTACGCTGCCACAAGTTCTTAGTGTCCAGGGTTGGTGAAGACTGGATCTTCCTGGTCCTGCTGGGACTCCTTATGGCTTTGGTCAGCTGGGCCATGGACTATGCCATTGCTGTCTGTCTACAGGGTGAGGGAGCCAGGGCTGGTGTGGGGGAGGGGAGGCCTGGGATGGGGGCCTAGTCTGCTTCCTCCATACCACAGTTATTGGGGTGTCTTGGTTGCTTGGCTGCTGAGCACTTTCCCTAGCCAGGCGTAATCAATTGCTACTCCCATGGATCACCACTTCTTGCCTCTCCTGTCCAGCTGCCCCTTTTACTTATGGTGGGCTTCGTCCCAGGGAATGCCCTTTAGGGCCCTTATCTTGCCATCTGCGTCCAGGCTCCGTGCCTGGAGAGAGCTTGTCTTGTCAATGTGTCCTGGGGGCCAGGCAGGGAGTGGGTGTGGATTGGGGGTCCAGCAGCATGTTCTCTTCCCACAGCTCAGCAGTGGATGTCCCGGGGCTTGAACACCAGCATCTTACTCCAATACCTGGCCTGGGTCACCTACCCAGTTGTGCTTATCACTTTCTCAGCCGGATTCACACAGATCCTGGCCCCTCAGGCTGTTGGTATGATAGGGGAGGAAGGCAGGGGTCGAACCTCATAAACAGTACATCGAATGACTGTCCTGGGCATGTACCTCCTGCAGGATCGGGCATCCCTGAGATGAAGACCATCCTTCGGGGAGTGGTGCTAAAAGAATACCTCACCCTCAAGACCTTTGTTGCTAAGGTCATTGGGCTGACCTGTGCCCTGGGCAGTGGGATGCCCCTGGGCAAAGAGGTAACTCAAAGAGTCCCTTGAAGTGGAGGAAGAGGCCAGGCTACAGTCGGGGCAGGCCACATCCCCACTTACCATGCATCCTCACCCCCCAGGGCCCTTTTGTGCATATTGCAAGCATGTGTGCTGCTCTGCTCAGCAAGTTCCTCTCCCTCTTTGGGGGTATCTATGAGGTAAGGGAACGGGGGGGGGAGGGGAAAAGGGTGGGTTGCTGAGTTCAGGCTGATGTCTCCCTGCCCCCACTCTTGGCAGAATGAATCTCGGAACACAGAGATGCTGGCGGCTGCCTGTGCTGTGGGAGTGGGCTGCTGCTTTGCCGCACCTATCGGAGGTAGGCAGGGCTCTGTGGTCAGTGCCACTCCCGACCCGCCCTTGGCCTCTCCTCCCTCCTCTTGCTGTTCTCTGGGTCTGAGTTCTTTGGCCAGGTCCAGGCCCACACCCAGGTCCAGGCCTCCAGCCCAGCTCTCCCTTGCTCCTTGTAGGCGTGCTATTCAGCATAGAGGTCACCTCTACCTTTTTCGCTGTGCGCAACTACTGGCGGGGCTTCTTTGCAGCCACCTTCAGTGCCTTCATCTTCCGGGTCTTAGCAGTCTGGAACAGGGATGAAGGTAGGGACACCTGTAGGATGGGGGGGGCAGAGGTGGTTCAGCTGGGGGACCCATGGGCTAGACCTGCCTCCCCTCTATTCTTCCCTTCAGAGACCATTACTGCTCTCTTCAAAACTCGGTTCAGGCTGGACTTCCCCTTCGACCTGCAGGAACTGCCAGCGTTTGCTGTCATTGGGTGAGGAGCTGAGGGGTGGGTGACAGATGGAAAAGACGTTTCCTTGAGAAGACTCCCCCCCTCAATACCCTGATATTTCCCCCCCCGCTCTCCAGTATTGCTAGTGGCTTTGGAGGAGCCCTCTTTGTCTACCTGAACCGGAAGATTGTCCAGGTGATGCGGAAGCAGAAGACCATCAACCGCTTCCTCATGAGGAAGTGAGTTAGCCGGACACACTGGGCTGTGCGAGGGCTTCACAGGGTGGGGGTCAGTGAGGGGCCAGACAGCAGGCCAGGCACTTCACTGAGAAATCAGCCAGTGGTGGCTTTGGGCTGCCTGTACATTATGATGTACACGTGAATTACCTGAAGATGGACACTTGAGATTTTAGTCAATAACAGAGGGCATTTTGTGATGAAAGAATGCAGCTTTCTCCAACTTGAACCAGATAGCAGTACTTCCCTGAAGAGTATTTGAGCCTAGGTTTACCCTGTGGTCTGTGAGATAGATGTACTTTTTTTAATCCTTGGAAACATAGTTCTCTCACTTGTGACCTAAGGGTTGTGAGCGGAAAAACCCAAGATGTGACTTCTGTTGGGACTGAAATCCTGAAAGGGGGGTAGGAGTCAACTGCTGTGACCCCAGATGCCTCCACACTGATCCTCACTCTAAGTGACACTCTGAGTGACACAGAGACACACAGAGAGGTGGAAATACCTCTACCCCTCACACAACCTGCTCTTCAGCAAGGGCTCTTTGAGGAAAGATGTGGAGTCAGTTTAGAAAGGACTGCTGCTGCTACCTACTATGGAGTCAGGAGAGACAGAAAGACCTTTAGGTCAGATCACACACATGTACACACACACACTTATATCTCCCCATTCCCCATCTACCATTGTCTTTGGCACTGCCATGCCATAAGTAGCAAAAGGGAATTTCGCCTGGGACTGTGTGCTTCATGTAAAAGCCCAGGCTCTGCTCTGGCCTCGGCCCTGAGCTTTGTGCCTACAGGTGCCTCAACCCTCCATACAAGGGAGCCACCCATGTCTGATACTGTGAAATGTACACCTCTAGGCGCCTGCTCTTCCCAGCACTGGTGACCCTGCTCATCTCCACTCTGACCTTTCCCCCTGGCTTTGGACAGTTCATGGCTGGACAGGTAACCTTAGGCAGAACAAAAACGTGTTTTTTCCCAAAGCCAACTGCCCCAGCATGGCCATGAATTCTTGTGGGCCCCTTCCCAACATTCTTTCTGAGCCCTGGCCTGATATACACCTGTTTGCTTTAGCTGTCACAGAAAGAGACACTGGTCACCCTGTTTGACAACCGGACATGGGTCCGCCAGGGCCTGGTGGAGGATCTAGAACTTCCCAGCACCTCACAGGCCTGGAGCCCACCGCGCGCCAATGTCTTCCTCACTCTGGTCATCTTTATTCTCATGAAGGTAGACCTTCTTATACATTCATTCCAATATTGATGGCATCTGCCTAGGCCATTAGGTAGGGGTTCTGTTTGAAGGACTTGCCATGTATCAACTCCTGTGAGCCTCACAGCAAAGCTTCAAGAGAGGCATTTTTCCCTGTCTTAAAGGTAGGGAGTCAAAGCACGAGGTTAATTGGCCTCAAATCACACATCTAGGTGGTGTGAGAGGATTTAAGCCCAGGCTATCTGGTTCTAGAGTCCTGCTCCTTCCCTTTACCTCTTGGGATTAGGGGATATGAGGGAAGACTGTATCTGTCAATGCCAAGTGTGGTGGCATCTGCCTGTAATCTCAGTGCTCAGGAAGCAGAGGAAGGAGGATTGTGAATTTGAGGCCAGTCTTGACTAGGACTATATAGCAAGACCCTGTCTCAACACACACACACACACACACACACACACACACACACACACACACACACCCAGCCAGGTGCTGGTGGCTCACACCTGTATATAATCCTAGCTATTCAGGAGACTGAGGTCTGAGGATGGAGGCTCAAAGCCAGCCTGGGCAGGAAAGTCCATGGTACATGATAACTTGTTTCTCCAATTAATCACCTAAAACCTGGGAGTACAGCTGTGGTTTAAGGTGGTAGAGTACTAGCCTTGAGCAAAAAAATCTCAGGGACAGTGTCCAGGCCCTGCGTTCAAGCCCCATGACCAGCAAAAAAAAAAAAAAAAAAATTAAGACGAAGTTGTAACTGCAGTTCTGGATGTCTGCACTGGCTACCACCATCCCAGTGCCCTGTGGGGCCTTCATGCCTGTCTTTGTCATTGGTGAGTCTGGGGCTTCTCTGGGGCGACCTGTCCACCCAGCCTGCACCCTCCCCACCCTCTGGCCATCCTTTGGCTGTCCCCTCTATGCCCAGGAGTGGGTTTTGGTCCAGCCCTAGCCCAAACCCCCACCCTTGCAGGGCTGACCCCTGCACTGAGTGACCCCCTGGCCCCTCCCCTCCCCTACCCTCTGACCCTCTCTCTTCCTAGTGCCCCCTGCCCTCCCCCTCCACTACCTCTTTCTCTTCCCACCCCCCTCCCTGAAGGAGCAGCATTTGGACGCCTGGTGGGTGAAAGCATGGCTGCCTGGTTCCCAGATGGCATTCACACAGACAGTAGCACCTACCGAATTGTGCCTGGAGGCTATGCAGTGGTTGGTGAGTGCCTGGGTCTGTCTATTGGTTTGTTTTGCAGGTCTTGCTCATGCTCGGCAAGTACCTACCCCTTCGACAATGACCCTAGTCTGCCCCTGCTTTCGAAACCTCCTGACCTAATCAGAGTCTAGGACTCTGGTGCCCCCTGCTGGCAGATGCAGACGCCCCATACAAAGCACTACACAGGACAGTGTGGGGTGGGGGTGGGGGGCTACCTGGGGAAAGGAAGGTCTTCTAAAGGCTGGGCCCTGAAGACTGAGTGTGGCTGTTCCCAGGGGCTGCTGCGCTGGCAGGAGCAGTGACACACACAGTGTCCACGGCCGTGATCGTGTTCGAGCTCACAGGCCAGATCGCCCACATTCTACCTGTCATGATTGCTGTCATCCTGGCCAATGCCGTTGCCCAGAGCCTGCAGCCCTCCCTCTACGACAGCATCATCAGGATCAAAAAGCTGCCCTACCTGCCTGAGCTGGGCTGGGGCCGCCACCAGTATGGAGGGATGGGTGCCAAGGGGGTATGGGAGTGAGGGGCAAAAGGCCTCCCAGGACCCCTCAAAACCACTTGGATCCAATAAGGCTGGGAGACTGGCCACCTTGCGCCCTCCCTCTTCTGAGAATCCCTCATCCTGGGAGCACAGTAGCTGGCCCTCACTGATGGGAAAGAAGGGTGGAGAGCACCATTAATCCCTGTCCTACTGGGGCCCTGGGTTCTTCCTCAGCGGTGCTCTGGGTGATTTTCCCCATGCCAACCTCAAACTCTACTCTACCCCCAGGCAGTACCGGGTGCGAGTGGAGGACATCATGGTTCGGGACGTTCCCCATGTGGCCCTCAGCTGCACCTTCCGGGACCTGCGGGTAGCACTGCACAGGACCAAGGGCCGTATGTTGGCCTTAGTGGAGTCCCCTGGTAAGGCCAGGAGGCATCCCAGGGGCACTGCCCAGCAAAGGACAGGCAGCTCAGGACCAGACTACTTGGTCCAAAAGGGGTGACACTTGTCAAGCTGGGGTCCCCCTATGGTGTGTGGGTATGAGAGCACATGGGTGAGGGAGGGCCTCACCCCTACTCCTGAGTCCTCTACTTGCTCTGTCCAGAGTCCATGATCCTGCTTGGTTCCATCGAGCGCTCACAGGTAGTGGCATTACTGGGGGCCCAGCTGAGCCCAGCTCGGCGGCGGCAGTACATGCAGGAACGGCGGAAGGTCCAGACATCCCCGCCCTCTGACCAGGAGAGTCCTCCCAGCCCTGAGTCCTCTGTCCGCTTTCAGGTGAGGGAAAATAGCTCCACAGCCACACACACCTGTCACTAATTATTAAAGGGTGTCTCTGGGCCACAGCCTCCTCAGCTCCTCCCTGCCCCCAGGTGAACACAGAGGACTCCCGTGGGGAGATACACAAACCCCTGAAGCCTGCTCTCAAGAGGGGGCCCAGCAACACCTCAAACCACAAGGAAAGTCCCACAGGTGAGCCACTCCCTCAGACACAGCCAGAGCCAGGCCACCACAGTCCCTTGGCCCCTTCCCAATGCCTTTTGCTAGAGATCATCCCAGCTGGAAAACCCTGCCCAGGTGGGAAAACTGGGATGCCTCCTCCCACCTCTTGCCTTCTCCTTGGTCCTAGTCCCAAACTTGATGTGGCTCTTCCTGGGCCTTTTGTTTGGGAACACAGGCAATGGGGAGTCTACAGGCATTGCCCTCAGAAGCCTCTTCTGTGGCAGTCCACCTCCGGAGGCCGCTTCCGAGGTGAGTGGTTGGAAGGACTCCTCCTGATTACCTTTTTTTTTTGGGGGGGGGAGGGTGATATAGTATTGGTGCTTGAACTCAGGGCTTTCTACTCACTTGTTCATGGTTGTTGCTCTACCATTTGAGCCACACCTCCAGCCTGGCATTTTGCTGATTAGAGTTGGACTCTCTCAGACCTTTTCTGCCCAGGCTGTCTTCGAACCATGATTGTCAGATCTCAATCTCCAGAGTAGCTAGGAGTACAGGTGTGAGCCATCTATACCCAGCTCCAGCTTGCTTTTTCTACTAGTTCCCTGTTTGATTCAAGAGACCCTTTCTATTAATCCCGTGGTGCCTCCCCATTCTCAGCTTTCCTAGATGTCTGTTCTGGCCTTGCATGTTTCCTTTCCCCGTGGACTCCACCACTTCTTTTGCCTCTCATCTCCCTTTAACCTAAACTCCTCTCTGCCTTGGCTCTGACAAAGCTGGAGAAATCTGAATCCTGTGACAAGCGCAAGCTGAAGCGGGTCCGAATCTCCCTGGCGGTACGTGTCCCCTCTCTCCTTGCAGTCAGGAACAGTGGGTAGGGAAGGCCCCATCTAAATGGGGGAAACCTCTTAGAGCTAGTTCGCCTTATTTCTTCCTTCTTCCCTTCCTCCCTCCCTCCCTCCCTCCTAGAGTGACTCTGGCCTGGAAGGAGAGATGAGCCCTGAGGAGGTAGGTGCCACTGGACTCTGGACCCTGTTTCTTCCTAGGTGTGGTCAGTCACCATCTTGGTGATGGGAGGAACCACAGGGTGAGGGAAAGGAACAGGCCAACTTTCAGGGAAGTGAGGGTCACTTCCTCCCTGACTCTTAGTCTCTTCCCCTCAGATTCTGGAGTGGGAAGAACAGCAGCTAGATGAACCTGTCAATTTCAGTGACTGCAAGATTGATCCCGCCCCCTTCCAGCTGGTAGAACGGACCTCTTTGCACAAGGTACCTGCACCTCCACCCCCACCCCACACACGTTTGGACTCAGGCCAGTGGGCAAGGAATGGGGAGAGCGTAGGCTCTGTCTGTACAGAGATGTTTTTCAGACACATTGCTTTAGACAACAGGGAGACTGGAAATCAGGGCCCTTAGCCTTGTCCTGCTCCGTGGTGGAGCCACAAATCACATCGTTTTTCCTCCGCTCAGCCTCGCCCCCAGGGAACTGTCGACCAAAGCAACAACAAAGACAGAGATTGAGCTGGGTACAAGCCAAAAGGCCAGGCCACGGTCAGAGCTAGGCAGGAGGCTGCCAGAGCCCCACAAGGCTGATACACCCACGCTGAAAAAAATGGGTGAGAAACAGGCGGGATAAGAAAATCTAACAAACAAGCTAGCAAACAGCCAAGTAGGGGTGGGGAGACTGCAGGGAAGAGATAAACAAAGAAGAGGAACGCCCGGTGGGGGGCTTGGAATGTCAGACCCCAGAAAGTCTGATTTCATGTAGGTCAAAGGAACACTGGTAGGGACTCAGGAAGATAGCTCAGCAGAAGGGCAGAAGGGCCCACAACTGCTGCAGAAGTGCAGCACTAACAGACCGGGATGGGGGAGGCACACATTGGAAGTTGGGGGAGGGGGAGCTCTAGAGAGCACTGCAGGTCAGGTGAAGGCATAAGCTGATGTATGGGATAGCTGCCTTTCGACAGTGTACAAGCCTCCATCGGAGGGAGAGGGGCTGGGCAATGAGTAAATACTCCCAGGGCCTGTAGCCTTAGTAGCTTAGACACAAGTTTTACCAAAGAGCCAGAATAATGCACACAAGCAGAGGGTGAGGCAGGAAGGACAGAGGACAAGATAGAAACAAAAAACAAAGGATAATAAAGGAACTTGTAGCCTTTAGATAAAGACTTCAGATCAAAGTGAGTGGGGAAAAGGAGATGGGCCTGAGGACAATATGTTTGCTTTTCTCTAAAGCCTTTCTTTCTAAGATCTCTTAACGATTTTTCCACAGTGGTCAATCTTATCTTAGTCCTCAGACAGCCATACTGGTGATGCTCACGATACTGACTTTTTTCTGTGTGTGTGCTTATAATGTTCCAAAGCTCTTCATGTGTAATTTAATTATTACAACCACATAGGAAAATAGATATTATGATACCCCAATTTTTATAGAAGATTCAGAGCGATCAGGCAAGTTGCCCAAAGTCACACAGCTAGTAACAGAACTGGGCCTGGAATGGAAGATAGTCTGAATCAACACACAATGGGCAGCTGAGTGCCAGTAGCTCACCTGTGAGCTATTCAGGAAGTTGAGATCTAGAGAATTGCAGTCCAAAGTCAGCCAAATCAGAAAAGTCCACAAGACTCCATATCCATATCAGAAACCCAGGCTGGCCGGAGGTGTGGCTCAAGTGGTAGTGTGCCAGTGGAGCAAGCAAAGCCCTGAGTTAAAAAAAAAAAAGCCAGTGGCCTAAACCATTTTACTACCTAGGGAAACTGAGGCATGCAATGAGGAGGTCATTTGCCTGAGTCAGTTTAGCAGTCAAACCCCGATCTCCTGGCCCTGCTCCCAGGATTCTTTCAGAAGGCCATGTTGTCCCTTTCCCTGTCAGTTCACTGTTCCCAGGCTCAAGAAATTTGGGCCTTCCAGTAGGCTCCCTGGTGTCTAATTAAATTAAAATGAAAAAGAACAAAGTAAGCATTTGTTACAAACTTAAAAATCAAAGGAAGGAGAAGAAGCCTTTGAGGGACTGACTTATACAAGTACAGAGAACTAGAATGATAAGAACATAAAAGGTTAGAATTTAAAATGTTGTTACAAGCCTGAGAAACCAGTAAGTGGTAGCCCAACTCAGTTCAGAGGGGAGCTTTGGAGAGGAGGGAGAGTACACGGAGACCATTTAGAAACTGTGCAGCCATTGGCCACCGTGCCAGCTAGCTACCTCATTTATTAAAGGTGAAGAGCGTCAGTTGGGGGGCCAGACTTGTCCAGCCAGTGACCTCACTGGGTAACCTCATCAATACCTTAGCTGCTTGCTTTCAGCTTCACCTCCTTATCTATAGTTGTGATCATGCCTCATTGAAGAGCTCGGACGTGTGAAGGATTTATAACAGTGCCTGACTCATAGCAAATATTCAATGTTAGGAACTACCACTCCACTTAGACTGAAATGAACAGTGGAGGGCGTATAACAAGGGAAGGATGGAAGTGTGGGAAAAGATAGGTATTTTAAGGAAAAAATGAGAAATTATGTAAGACTGGAAGCTGTGGTTCAGGGCAGAATTTAAGACTGGAAAGCCAGCCTGGGGTTGGCTTTGGGAAGATTTCAGGGGCTATCCTAAGGAGCCTAGGCGTTCCTCAAGTTTGAGGAAGTCCACAGGATGGCAGAGTCTACCTGGAGAGAAGGGAAGCAGAAAGTAGGAGAACCATTGTTGATTTTGTTTTTTTTGACATTGTAGCCCAGTCCTGGGGAACACATTAGGGGAAGCTGTAGGGGACAATGCCTAGATACACAACTAGTGGATTGGTAAACTGGCAAAGTGCCACAGACAAGTGGGGTGGAAACCTGCAATGCACCTGCCAGAGTTCACTGATTAAGATTGTAGAGAAAAGGCTGGGCACCGATGGCCTGTAATCCCAGCTTCTCAGGAAGCTAAAATCTAAGGATCATGGTGTGAAGCCATCTGGGACAGGAAAGTCCATGAGGCTCTTATCTCCAATTAGACACCAAAAAACCAGAAGTGGAGCTATGGCTCAAGTAGTAGAGCACTAGCCTTGAGCACAAGGGCTCAAGGACAGCACCCAGCCCCTGAGACCTAGGACTGGCACCCAAAAAAAAAAAAAAAAAAAAGATTGCAGAGGAAAAAAATCCAAGGAAATTATTTTTTAATAGGCTTTTTGAGAGAAGATGAGAGGAATAATTTGACCATAAAAAGACATGGCTAGGGCTGGGAATGTGGCTTAGTGGTAGAATACATGAAGCCCTGGGTTTGATTCCTCAGTACCACATAAACAGAAAACGCTGGAAATGGCACTGAGGCTTAAGTGATAGAGCGCTAGCCTTGAGCAAAAGCAGCTCAGGGACAGTGTTCAGGCCCTGAGTTCAAGCCCCAGGAGTACCAAAAAAAAAAAGGTGGGGGGGAAGTAATAAATCACGTTTTTACAACCCTTACAATAAAGATTTCCTTCTAGAACAGACAAGGAAATGAAGGCTAACTATAGTATGTAGATATGATTCTAACTAATGGATAACTATGGGAATTAAAGGAACACAGAAGAACCTAAGTTCAAAACATAACTTCTTGTCTGGGTACTGGTGGATCATACCTGTAATCCTAATTACTTGAGGGACTGAGAAATTGGGATGATTATGGTTTTAGACCAGCCCATTCAAAAAAATTTGCAAGCTGGGCACCAGTGGCTCATACTTATAATCCTAGCTACTCAGGAGGATGAGATCTGAGGATCACAGTTCAAAGCCAGCCTGGGCAGGAAAGTTTGTGAGAGAGACTCTTATCTCCAATTAACCACCAGAAAACTAGAAGTGGCGCTGTGGCTCCAGTGGTAGAGTGTTTGCCTTGAGTTGAAGAGCTGAATGACAGCACCCAGGCCCAGAGTTCAAGCCCCACCACCACCACCACCACAACAAAAGTTTGCAATACTCATTTATTTTGTTGTTGTTGTTGTTGTGGATCTTGAACTCTGGGCCTGAGCCTATCAGCTCTTGAGCCAAATGAGCCACAATGCCGCTTCCAGTTTTCTGTAAGACTCATTCTTAACTGAGATCTGGGTTCCGTGGTCCATGTCTGTTATCCTAACTATGAGACATAAATCATGGCCCAGACAGGGAGACCCCATCTCAAAAAACCACCAGTGCAACAAAGGGCTATAGATACGGTTCAGTGATAGAGTGCCTATCTAGCAAACGCAAGGCCCCTGAGTTCAAACTGCGTTTTGACTCTTCCCTTCTACATTTTGACTCTTTTCATAAGTGCAGTCATGCCTTAGATGGAGAAAGTTAGAACATTCTGGAATTCCCTTCCTATTTAATTTCAGAGTATAAGAAAAAGTTTCAAGTTCTAAGACAATTTAAATGAGTTCAAGAGCCAAAGACCTGAGCTGTTTACATATAGAATGCTTGTGCCCAATGGCTCTTGTTCTTACCTTGGGTCCTCTTATCTGCCAAAGCCTACAGGCTTCTAATTCTGCAGCCTCGTACCCTCCCCACAGCTAGCTGATTCATCCTTTACATGAGGAGGGCTGCTTACAAGCACTCGGAATGCTGAGATAAATGATAGGCCAAAATTCCAGGAACTGCTGAGTCAGGAGACACATTTTGAAGCCATCTGGCCCAGGAAAATCCACTCCTTACCAGGGGGCCTGACCATGTCTAGACCTTTAGTGGTCACATTTGATTATTTGAGAGGGGCCCAGGGAAAGGAAAATAGGGGAGTGGGGAGGCCCCACTACAGCAGCAGAAGGATTTTAGCTTACAGGTTTCTGAAGCCTAGGGACACAGTAGCGTTCCCACGCTAAATTTCCCTTCGGCTATTCTGTCCCCTCCCACCACATCTGTAGAACCCCTCCACCACACCTCATTGAGCCCTTTTGGCCTGTGATTCTTTTTTTTTTTTTTTGGTCCGGTTGTGGGGCCTTAACTCTGGGCCTGGGCGCTGTCCCTCAGCTCTTCAGCTCAAGGCTAGCGCTCTACCACTTGAGCCACAGCGCCACTTCCGGCTTTTTTCTTTTTGCTTATGTGGTGCTGAGGAATCGAACCCAGAGCCTCAGGCATGCAAGGCAAGCGCTCTACCACTGAGCCACCTTCCCAGCCCTGGCCTGTGATTCTGAGACACCCCAGCCCTCCTCCCGGAACTTCCAAGCCCAGTGCATTTTCTCTCCACCCGCAGACTCACACCATCTTCTCACTGCTGGGTGTGGACCACGCTTATGTCACCAGCATTGGCAGACTCATTGGAATCGTCACCCTAAAGGAGGTAAGGTGACAAGACCACCAGAGCTACTTCCAAAAGGGCATGGAGTCTTCTGCATGGCTCTCCTGGGGAGCAGTCTGAGCAGGGAGCTCCGAGTCCAGGCATCTCCCTCTCACTTTTCCAGCTCCGGAAGGCTATTGAGGGCTCTGTCACGGCCCAGGGTGTGAAAGTCCGGCCACCTCTTGCCAGCTTCCGAGACAGTGCCACCAGCAGCAGTGACACAGAGACCACTGAGGTGCATGCACTCTGGGGACCCCGCTCTCGCCACGGCCTTCCCCGAGAAGGCAGCCCTTCGGACAGCGATGACAAGTGCCAGTGAGCCCCTTGATGAATAGCCTAGCAAAACAGTGGCCGTATTCCTTCTGCCTTGTAGGAGGCAGCGGCAGCCAGAGCCTGGAAGCCCAGGTGCCAACTGCTCCCCTGCCATCCTACCTACAATCTTGACTCAGCACCCACTGCAGCAGGAAGCTCAGTACTGTCCCGGAAGGGTGGGTTGGTGTCATGTGACCCTTGTTTCCCTTTTGCTGGGGAAAGGGGCAGAACTAAGATGGGTTTATACTGGAACCTACAATGACCAGATGTATATAGAGATTTACAAAGATTTTTATATTAATTTAATAAAACAAATTCTTAAATAGAACAAAATAAACACCTAATGAGCCACTTATATATAGAATGCTTGTGCCCATTGGCTCTTGTTCTTACCTTGGGTCCTCTTACCTGCCAAAGCCTATAAGGCTTCTATTTCTGCAGCCACATACCCTCCCCATAGCCATAAAAATCTAGAGTCCAGTATCCTTGGAATGTAGATGTCCCACAGGGCTCCACTGCCTGGCCATTAACACCCTAGCTGGGGCAGGGGCCCTAGTACTGCGGCTGTGGCTTTCCATTAAGTCAAGAAAGGCACTACCTTCTCTCCCTAAGGACAGGCACTCTCTCCTCTGACTATATCACTCATTGGCACAATTCTGGCCAGACACAGACATCAGTTGACAGCTTCCTGGCCATTTCTGAGGCCCCCTTGTGGCCATCTCTAGAAGAACACCAAAGCCGCAGCTCTAAGCAGTCAGAGCCATCCCTTCTTCCAGCTGCACACTCAAGAGAACTCTGCATGCACCCACACATCCTTGGAGGGCTGAGGAGGGGTCCCAGGCCTCAGGTGGGGGATCAGGAGAAAGGTGAAGGGTACTCTCTTTCCTCATTCCAATGCCTCCTAGAGAATGTCTGACTGAAAAAACGGACCAGAAACTCTCTGTCTTTACAAAACAAAAAGAAGAAGATTTAGAGATGATGGAGAAGTGAAGCACAGCACAAGCCCAGCTGGGCTAGGGGCCCTTAGGGGGTGACTCAATCCAGAGGCTCCTCAAGGGCAGGAGCCAGCCCCCTCCCCCCCCCAAGGTGGAGGTGGTTCTATTAAGCACTGTACATGGACTTGAAGGTGAGGAGAGAAGCAGAGGAGAGGGGCTGAGGGGCTGGGGGGAAGAGGAGGTGGCCCAGCCCCCTCCCACTCCACCTCCCCCCAGCCAGTCACAATGAAGCCCACCCCCCCAAGAGTTCACATCATCCAGGAGGAAATGTGGCATTTTAGATTTAAGAACATGAACATCACTGCCTGCCACAGCTGTAGCCATGCCCCAGGGGCCCCGGGCAACCCCCGGCAAACCCCAGGAGTGGGGGCAGGACATGCGCCCCCAGCTCGGCCCCTGCCTCCTCTCCAAACACTTTCATGCAAAACACACAACGGAGAAGTGAGTGCTCCCAGGAGCCCTCTAGGCTTCGGAGCTCACTGAGAGCCTTGAGCCCATATGTGGACACAGAGGCTCTGCCCCCAGCAGCAGCCAGGGGACGCATGCCACCACCAGGCATGATTTGGGTCACTGTTCTTCGTGCTCCACCTCATCCTCATCTAAGGACACCACCCCAGAAGAGGCCACATCAGAAGCTTGCCGCTGCCGTTCCCAGCTTCCCACTGGTGGTAGACAGAGTGGCTGGCAGTCCTTGCAAGGGTCAGGCTCCTCCTCAGCAGGGGAAAGGCAGGATTCTGTGAGGGGCGAGTTGTACAGTGAGTCCTGGGCCTCTAATGGACCCAGGTTGCGGAAGGCACTTTCCCGGCTGGGGGGCAGTTTGGCAAGAAGCAGCTCGTCACCCAGCAGCTGAGAGGTCAGCCGGGCCGGGGAGCCCAGCAACCCATCCTCCAGGCTACACAGACTAGAGCACAGGGTGTCTGGAGACACGGTTTGGGAGCAGTCGCTCTCAGGCTCCACCGAGCCCTGGCGTACAGGCCGAGAGAATCGGCGCCCAGTGAAGAGGTCCTGGATGTGGGACCCCAGAGACAGCTGCCCAGACATGTCTGTGAGGGAGAGAGAAAAGAAGACAACAGCTCATTTCAACTGAAATGCTGGCTAACCTAGAAGCCACAAAGTCACTTTCGTGAGCCCCAGCCATTTCTGTCTTAGCTGGGGGGAGGACACGGATAGGAGCTGGGTAACCGCAGACAAGTCACAGTTTTTGAAGCCTTAGTTCCTTCCATGGTGAATTAGGGATTCTACTCATACCTACCTTATAGGGTTGAGAACAAATCTGGCACATAGGAAACAATAAATACAGGGACACCACATAAGGTCTTCCAGGTTGTCCACTGCACAGACAGTGAGTAAGGGTTCAAATGTAAGTCACACTCTGATCACCAAGCAGCATGTCCTGGCATGGGGATATGTCCACCAGAAAGGGGATGCCTTTTAAAAACTTGCTGAAGTGCTAGGCTGCCAGCCAGTGGCTCACACCTATAATCCTAGCTACTCAGGAGGCTGAGATCTGAGCATCAAAGTTCAAAGCCAGCCCAAGCAGGAAAGCCCATGAGATTTATCTCCAATTAACTACCAAAAAAAAGCTGGAAGTGAAGCTATGGCTCAAGTGGGAGAATGCTAGCCCTGAGCAAATGTTGTTCAGAGATAGTACCCAGGCCCTGAGTTCAATCCCCAGTACCTGCATCAAAAAGCAAACAAAAAAAAACTGTGCTGAAGTTGACGCATGTCTATAATCCAGATATTCAGGAGATTAAGACCTGGAGGATTGAGGTCCAAAGCCAATCTGGAGTCTATAAGACTCCATCCCCAATTAACTAGTAAAATGCTGAACTGGAAGCATGGCTCAAGTAATAGAGCACCTGCAAGCACAAAACCCTGAGTTTAAGTAATAATACCACCAGGGGAAGAAAAAAGATGTTGAAGAAAAAAAATAACAAAAAAAACTTGTTCAAAGTTTCCACATAGGCTGGTAGCAACCCTAGATCAAGTTATCCCAGGATCCAAAGCAGTGAATCAAGTGAAAATATTTGTGGGTGAGGGTTGCATTTGGGCCTAGGCATCCACAACAGCAGCCTCTGGCCTTGTTTAAGGTAGAGTATGTCATCTTGGAGAACTTGTTAATTAGGTAGAGAGTTGGAGATTGATAGAAGCCATCTTCAATGGCAAAGAAGAGGGAGTAGGGATGAAGATTCTGTGAGGCCCAAGCCCAGAAATTGCAGAGAAAGTCAGTCTAGGGAAAGAAAGATGAAAGGAAAGCTGTGAGCAGCTGCACAGCCCCCAGGGTCCCCTCTGCAAGGGCTGGCCCAGAGCACAGCCCACAGGCTGGAATGCAAGGATGCTGAGTTAGAGCCAGAGCCATGTGGAGTCCAAGCCCAGCATGTCTTCCTGTTTGCCTAGGAGCAGCTGCCCAGTGAGGTGCTAGGCACTGCACTGAGGCTCATGTGTCCTGCCACAGAGGCTGCCTCAATAAAGGGTAAAGACCCCAGACTCTCTCCTGGACACAGGGCTACACAGGCATCACTAAGGTCTCTAACTTGGTGTGTGTGTGTGTGTGTGTGTGTGTGTGCACTACACAGGCATCACTAAGGTTTCTAACGGGGTGTGTGTGTGTGTGTGTGCGCTACACAGGCATCACTAAGGTCTCTAACTTGGTGTGTGTGTGTGTGTAAGTGCATGCGTGCATGCGTGTGTGTGTGTGTGTACATGCGCTAGTCCTAGGGCTTGAACTCAGGGCTTGGAGGCTGTCCCTGAGCTTCTTTTGCTCAAGGCTAGTGCTCTACCACTTGAGCCACAGTGCCACTTCCAGCTTTTTCTGAGTAGTTTATTGGAACTAAGAGTTTCAAATTTTTCTGCCCTGGGTGGCTCAGAACCATGATCCTCAGATCTCAGCCTCCTGACTAACTAGGGTTACAGGCATGATCCACCAGTACCCAGCAGGTCTCTGATCTATCTATCTATCTACCTACCTATCTATCTATCTATCTATCTATCTATCTATCTATCTATCTATCTATCTATCTATCTATCTATCTATCTATCTATCTATCTTTCTATCATTCTGAGGACTGCACAAGGCACAACTGCACACATGGAAGAATAATAGCTACTCCATTTCCACCTGCTAATTTCCTACATTTCCTACAGGGCCCTTCTGCCTCTGAGCTGTCTGTATAGAGCCTACCCTCCTCTCTCTGGAAAAGCTGAGGGTGCCCTGGGTGTGACTCAGAGAGAATGACAACGTCTATCAGGCAGGTTCACCTCAGATTGCAGCACTTGCACAGCCCACCCCTCACCTGTGTCAGTTCCCCCAGCAAAGTCCTCATCATAGGAATCATCGGTGGAATCATCACCGTCCATCGAAGACCAGGCCCGGAGTTTGGCTTCTGCAATAGCAAACTGCTCAGCTACTCCTATCAGGCGGGGAGACAGGGAAGTGATCAGCATAGGAACAAGTGGGGAAGGCAGAGAGACCGTTATGGAAGTCTCCACCCCCATGCCAGGGGCCCTATGACAAGTGTGGAACTGACACCCTTTGGGCCACCCACCTGCTGCAAAGCGGGCCTCTTGTTCGCCCTCACTGAGGTCCGAATAGGAAGAAAAGGCTGATTCCAGGGCAGCAGGAGAGTCACTGGGCTTGCTCCAGCCCTTCCATTCAATGAGGTGAGCCACTCGGCCCTGAGCCATGGCTGTAGGCTTAGTCACATGGTCTTTCACCACCTGAGAAATACCTGGATAGGGAAAGGGTGGACTCTGGTAAGGGCACATGCCTGGGAACAACTGGCAGGAAAGTGGAAGGTGGTGGTAGTTAGGATCCCTGTGTGCCTTTGGGTGAAGTACTAGGGTTCTATTAGAAAAGAGATAGCCCAGCAATGCTCAAAAGAAATAGTCCCAAAAGACAGAGGCAAATGGGAAGAGAAAGGACAAAGTAGGCAGCACATGAGAGAGGGTGCATACCATGCAGGGAAGATCTGGCCAGAGCAGCAATCTCCTGGATGGTTAGGGCTCTCCGGGACTTGGGCAGCATCGCGACTGTGTCTCCAACATTCACCTTGAGTGATACATCAAAAGGTCAGTGCCTTCTGACAGCAGTGACCTTCCCCCAACCTGCCCACATCCCATCCAAGGGATCAGAGGGAGCTGGGTGCTGGTAAGAATACCAAGGCAGCACAGATGCCCTAGTGGCTGCTGGGGTAGAAGCTAGGACTAGCAAACTCTCCTCCCAGGAATCAATGGGCGATAAGGCAGGCTCAGGGGAATAGAACTGTAGCTAAGCCTCCATCTTTCCAGCTTCCAGACAGGAAGCAAGGCAGGTCAGGAAGTGAAGAATCATGGAGTGGGACCTCTGAGGAGAGGGAAGGGAGAAACAGAGAATGTTATGGTATTGGGAACTTCCTTATGGTTCCTTCCCCTCCCCTCTCCTCCCAGCCTTCAGATTCATGTTGTAACTATTCCTAGATTTCCTACCACAGCCATACTCTCAGTACAACCAAAGCCAAATGGAAACCTTCCTCCCCATATCTGGCCTTGCTTCCCAACTTCCTTACTTTGCAGTCACTCTACTGTCCTCCCACCCAATACGGTTCCCAACTTAGCATTACCATCAATTCTCCCTTAAGCTTTGTCTGTCCATATCTGTTACGAAGACCTGGGGATTCCAACTCTAAGATACCCCCGATACTACCCTCGTCCTTTCTATCCCCATTGCCACTGTCTTTCCCCAAGTCCTCGGAGCCCCTGCCTGTGTTAGCACAGTCACAGTCCCCCACCCTCTGCCACTCCCCACTACTTTCCCAGCCTAGAACACTGTGTATGTAAGCATTCCCTCCCTTCCTCTTTCCATGGCTGGCTAGCTTTCTCATTCTTCCAGGTTTGGCTGAAACACCCTCTCAGAGGCGCTTTCCTGGCCACCCTGCCAGTGGTCTGCCCTCACTCTGTAGTCTCCAACAAATCACTATCCTTTATTGATGTATCTTATTTGTGGCCCTTAATCTCAGTGTGTGATTATAGCCTGTTTCATTTATTTCTTGTTGGTCTCCCTCACTGTTGTGGCAACTGTTGCACCCCAGTATTTAGCACACTGCTCAATACAGAGTAATCTCTCAAAATGCATAAACTGAATGAATAAGGCAAAGTATAACTGTAAACAAGTAATTTTCCTCCATGTGTGGCTGGTCATAGCATTGTCTCTTCTTGAAATCTTCACTGGGCTCCTCCACTGTTGGGTGACATTACTGCAGCCTTCCTACCTAGGCACTAGAAGAACTCCACTATGTGAGGTCCCTGCTTTTTCCTTGATCTCCTTAGAACCCAGCACTGATCTCTGCCCAAAATAACCCCACTCTTCTATCTTTCCTGTCAGTAGGCAGTCTGCTCACCTCCAGGAAAAAGTAAACTTTTATTTTTTTTTAATTTTTTTTGGGGGGTCCGGTCATGGGCCCTGAACTCTGGGCCTGGGCGCTGTCCCTCAGCTCTTCAGCTCAAAGCTAGTGCTCTACCACTTGAGCCACAGCGCCACTTTTCGGCTTTTTGCTTTTTGCTTATGTGGTGCTGAGGAATTGAACCCAGGGCCTCATGCATGCAAGGCAAGTGCTCTACCACTGAGCCACCTTCCCAGCCCAGAAAAAGTAAACTTTTAATAATCAAGAAAGCCATCATGGCCTGACCAAATGTTCTCTACCACTGAAGACCTGCCTAGAGCCACTTCCTAATAATGCTGCAGTTCACACATTGACTCTCCTGACAGCCTCCTCCAGCACTGCCCTTACATGGCTTGAGGCAGCAGTGGGTGGATGACAGGGCTGGGTCTAATCCACCTGGCTCCTAACTTCATCCCAGTTTAGTGATCCTTGACAAGCCCCAGTTAACCTTTCCTTCCATGGAAAAAGTGGAGGCACATCCCCATCCCTCTCAAGAAGTTACCTCCTCCTGCCCCTTTGACCTCAAGCCCACCTTCTTTCCCTCCTCTTGAGAATCTGGCTAATAGGACCCACAGGATAGGGTCTGTAGCCTCTGGCCAGACCTGGCACAGAAGCACCCGCGCACCTTAGGGGTTCTTCTTTCGTTTGTTCTCCCTTCCTCCCCTAACACACCCAGCATCATCGATGCCTGGCATTCTGCGCAGATGCAGCCCAGACCCAGAGAATAGGTGTGTGTCTCCCTGGCAACCCATCACCATGCAACAGGGTCTCCTGGGATACGGCCAGGGATGCGCTGACGTCAGCGCCTAAGGCCTAAGCAGGCCCACCCACTGCTGGCACCAAGCCAGGCGGAGCAGACCGGCGCGGAGGCGGCCTTTCGGTCTGCCGGCCGGATAGCGCCTCCGCTTGCAGGAAAAGGGAGCCTGGAGCAGGCTGGCAAGGCGGGGGCGGGGAATACAGATCTCCTAAATGTGGATGCCGTCCTTCTCCTCCCACCATCATAAGGAGCCCAGCACCTCCGGCAAGTCCTGGCTGTCCACAGAGGAAGGACGGGAGGACCGGCTCCAGCCTCGGAGGGTCTGAGAAGATCCCAAGGAGGACAGCGAGAGGCCACGAGGAAGTTCGATCCACTCCACAGCCCACGCGGGGTCCGAGGCCACTGAGTAGGGGAAAGACTGTTCAGCTGGTTTCCATTCTGCCAGTATGCTCCCTTTCATCCGGCGCTGAGCTATCGTCTCTTGTCCCCTCCCCCATCTCCCAGAATACCAGTGGACCACCTGGTGCCATCCACAACTCTGAAAGCCCCTGGTCCTACAGCTCTGACTGGGGCCATTTTGTCGCAACCCATGGGGCCTCTTCTACAAACATTTTGCCATCAAAACTCTAGAGTGAAACCCAAAGGCAGAGCAAATCTAAAACTCCCAGTTTCTCAGCCTCCTTACCCCTCTTGGAAGGCACACTGAACTCTCCCACCACTGCCGTTTCTCCCTTCCCCTCACCCCTCCGCCCCACTACCAGTCTGGGACCCTTTGCAGGCTTGCTGCCCTTCCTTTTCTCCTGCTACCTTGGCTCAGCCTCAGCTGGTCCAAAGCTCTTCAATCTTTTTTGAAAAATCCATAAATCCCCCCTCCACCCCCAGCCATCCAGAAAGCTTTTTCTGGCTGCCCCCTCTGGCCCCAGGCGGGCTCTCCTTGTTTCTGCTCCTAATTCCTAAGCCAGAGTAATTTTCCTCTTGCCATCTGAGCACATTACTCCTCAGCTCCCCATCACCTCCCAGATCACATCAACGGTCTCTGGTCTCACCTCTGCGACTTGTCTGACAAGTCCATCTTCCTCCAGGCCCTTCTCGCTGCCACACAAACATTTTCCCCAGCACAGAAATCATAGGCATGCTGGCTGTGTTGATGCGGAGAACCAAAAGCCCAGAACTGCTCCAGGCTGAGCTCCCAGTTCTATTCCTGTTTTGGCTCCGGATGCTGAGCCAGTCCCCTCCCCACTTGGAACTTGTGCCTAGTCACATAAGGAGAACACTCCTGCCTCGTGGCTCTGAGAAGGTGGGAGTAGCAGGGCCCTAGCCAAGCTCTCTGGGATTGGGGAGCTGAGGCCCATCCCCTAGACAATGCCAAGAGGCCATAGACATCACAACTGACCTTTAGCTGGAGCAGCCGTCTCTGTCCCTGAGCCTCAGCCAGCTGGTGGTCCCCAGAAATGCTACCAACCAGAAGGAAGACAGGTTATAGGCTGTCCCTGGTCCACAGCCAATACCAAATTAGGACTCTTTAGACCAGTCCTGAGGTCAACCACACTCCCCACTACAGGAAGGGATGACTTCCTGAACTCCAAGCAGGCCAGAGGGATCAGGCCAGAGGGATCCAAGTAGCCAGAATTCCTCATGCCTGTAATCCTAACTACTCAAGAGGCTGGGACAGGTAAGTCCATGAGACTCCAATTAAGAACCAAAAAGCCAGAAATGGAGTTGTGGCTCAAGTGGTAGAGCCACAGCGTTGAGCATAAAAAGCTCAGGCACAGTGCCTAGGCCCTGAGTTCAGGCCCCAAGACTGGCACACAAACACATGCAAACACGCAAACATACACACACACAAGCTAGAATTCCTCAAGGAAAGTGCAAATCTCAGTAAGAGTTTATAAACTCTAAAGAACCTCAAGAACCAATCACACTAAGATCAGATCTGTGTTAACCGACCACTTTCCCTAAAGGCCCAAGGACCCATTCCAAACCCAGTCTTCGATGTCACAAGTCCCTGCCTGGCTTTGGAGAAATCCTTAACACTGAAATCAAGTAGGCTAGAAGACCCACAAAACATATGCCTCTGCATGTATCACAATTCGTGAAAATCAAGACCCATACAGGGCCCAGAAGCTTGGGGAAGGAAGCTCTCCTCTCTTTCTTGGCTCCCTTTTTTCTTCCCGAAGTTAAAATGATTTGTTTTGTCTTTGGTGGGGAGGGGGGGGGGAGGAAATTGAGACAGTTGTATGCTGACAGGTGCTCCACATGGGGCCTCAGTCCTCCTTATCAACCAGCTGACTCAGAAGGGGGGGCAAATGTTAGGCACAAACTCTGGCCAGGATGCTAGGCCAGGTTTGCGGGCTGACTCCTAAGAGGACAGCAGCCCAGCAGGGAGAGGAAGGTTCCCAGCAGAGCCACTCCCGAGACACTGAGGAGAGGTATAGGCAGAAGGGAGTGTGTGGGTGTGCAAGGCCAACTGCCAGTGGCCAGACAGGTAGGGGCCTCAGGTTGCCAGCCTCTCCCAAGACCGTGCCTCTCGGTCCACCCCCAGCAGTGGGCACACAGGAGGATGGCGGCGAGACCACGCGTCTGCTCTGCAATGCTCAGGAGGCAGGCCACGGAGCAAACCCAGTCGGTTAGCCCCCTCCTCTTCCCTCCCTGGCCTGGCCCGCCTTCCCGTGCAGGCTCCTCCCTCTCCCGACACCGGCCCCCTCCTCAAGGCCCCCACCCACCCACAGCCCGCAAACCGGGCGCCGCAGCCCAGTCCCCAGCCGTGCCGGGCCTCCGCTCCTTACCCTCACCCGTCGGGCTCCGGGAGCCGATACAGCCCATGGCGGGACACCCAAGCACGCTAGCCCGCGCTCGGAGGCCGGGCCATCGCCTTGCAGAGGGTCGGGCCGCGGCCACCACCGGGGAGGGGTCTGCCCGCGAGGGGGGTGGGGGAAGCCGCGCATCCGCCGCCGCTCCCGGGAGAGGGAGCCGGGCCGGTGACGTAAGCGCGGGGGCGTGGCCGCCCGCGTCTCCACCCCGAGCGGGCGGCACTGGCCCACGTCATGGGCACGCTGGGCCGGCCTGAGGCCGAGCTGGAAACCGCTGTTGGTCTTCCCAGGCCCCGGCGGAGCCACGCGGAAGGCAGGGAGGGAAGTAGAAACTCGCTGGCCCTCGCAGTGGTCCATCGCCAAAGAGGGTTACAAGGCGGCTGCATCCAGCCCCCTCGTTTTAGAGGGTATCTTGAAGCCAGAAAGAGCTTCCCTGGGTACATAGGAGAGCCAGAGTGGCTAAGTGTCTCCTCATCAAGACAGCACCCCCTTCACCCACTGCTATCCAGAAGTGGCTCCTCAGACCCACCAAAATCACCAACAGGGAGAGGCAAGGAGTGGCAGGTGGCCGGAATCGTGCTACAGTGCCAACTCTGAAAAGGAAGATGCCCAAGTACCCATCCATTTCTCCAGAGGGAGCAGGTCATAAAGCAGAGGCAATGAGCTTAATTGAATTCATGTTTAATAATTACAGGCACCGTGCCCCCCTTCCCCCTGCCCAGGCAGCAGCAGGGGTGGTGCAGGGGCTGGGGCATTTGCCCCCAGCAGCGAGGACGGCAGTCCCAAGAGTGATTTTCAGAAAATAAAAAAGGACCCCCAGGGGCAGGTGGTGGTGCCCCCCCCCAAGACACACCAAATTTTCAAGACTTTATATATAATATATCTCTGTGCCCCAGGGGGAGGAAGGGGACACCTGACAGCATCCTGGAGGGGGGGGCCCCAGGCAGCCCTAAGCCATCCTGCCTCATCAGCCACTTTATTAGCTCAGACACATCGCACTACAGGCACCCACCGCCACTGCCGCCGCCGCTGCTACCCCCCTGCAGTCCAGACGGCTGGCCGGGCCATCCTTGTGTCCATGGGGCTCCAAGTCCCCAACCCCACCCGCCCTCAGTTGTGGTCAGACTCTTCCTCCTCTGCCTCACGAAGCCAATTGAAGAAGGCTGTGACAGACTTAAGGGCCACGCCTTTGCCCTGCTGCTCAGCAGGGTCCTTGCTGCTCTCCCAGCTGTAGAAAGCATCCTCCTTCACCACGTCCTCGTCATATAGCGCATCAAAGAACGTCCGAAGCAGGTCTGCAAGGCATCAGGACAAAAATTAGAGGTGACTGGACATAGCTCTTGCCAGACTGTCCCTAGGGATCCCTTTTCAAGCTTCACTGTTAAAAAACAAGACCCTGACCTACCATCTTGAAATCTGTGCCTGGCCATTCCAGAGTGACTAGGCCTCTGACAGGATGCCAATCATATGATCTAAGAGACTGTGCATAGAAATGAGTCAGTTGGCCATAAAGAACAAACCAGGCTTAGTGGTTCACACCTGTTCATATGATCTAAGAGACTGTGCATAGAAATGAGTCAGTTGGCCATAAAAAACAAACCAGGCTTAGTGGTTCACACCTGTAATCTCTGTACTCAGGAGAATGAGGCAGATGGAGAGTCTGCACGCTGCTTTGGCTACAACCTCGCAAGCTTACCCTTCATCACTTTTAGTAGCTTCAAATTTCTCCACTTGTGTTATACTTAATGGGAGGAAATTCATAAATAGGGTATTCCTGAATTTGGGAAACTCAGACATCCCAGTTATATTACTCACAAATGTAGCTGGAAAATCTACTGGCCCCTGAACAGGTCCCCTCTCTGGCCTCCACACTTCTAAAGGTACTACATCTTTTGCCACCCAAAGGGAGTTCATGAATGAACTTAAAGTATCCCCTTACTCTTTTTTCTTCACCACTGGTCACTAAGGGACTAGGTTTCAAGTCTTTGTCTTATAATTCCCCAAACTCTCTCTCATTCTTCACATTGCACTACTAATCCTTCCAAACCTAACTTCATGCTCCTAAAAAGGGAGGCAGAAGCTGGGCACCAGTGGCTCACGCCTGTAATCCTAGTCACTCAGGAGGCTGAGAGCTGAGGATCTTGGTTCAAATCTAGCACAGGCAGGAAAGTCTGTGAGACTCATCTCCAATTAACTACCAGAAAACTGGAAGTGGGGAAAAAAAAAAACAACTAAAAAACAAACAACTGGAAGTGGCCCTGTGGCTCTAGTGGTAGAGCATTCACCTTGAGCTGAAGAGTTCAGGGACAACTCCCAAGTCCAGGGTTCAAGCCCCACAATGGACAACCACCCCCCCTCCCCCGCCAAAAAAAAAGAGGCAGAATAAATGAAATGAATAAACTACTGGATCTCAAGTCCTTATCAGGTGAAAATCCTAAACCATAAGCTGCAAGCCAGGACATTTCTCAGGGCATTCCACCTTAAGTCCACAAACACTGCTTGTGGCTGCCTCACATAGCAATGGCAAGCATATTCTTTTCCCACACTGGTGCTTAGACATTAGGTGTACCCATCCAGAGAACCCTATACACCCAATTATCCACTTGCCCAACATATGCAATTTTATCTAGTTTTTTTTTTTTGGTTGTTGTTGTTTTATATCTCCTTCTTGTCTCAGTCAAGTATTCCAGTCCTTCCCAATCCAGATTGGCCTTGACTTTATTTAATTGGTCCAATACCAGGACTGTAAATCAAGGCCTGGGTGCTGTCCCTGAGCTCTTTTTGCTCAAGGCTAGCAGAGAGTCATAGCTCCATTCCCAGCATTTGGGGGCGGGGGGGGGTGAAGTTTCAGAGTCTCATGGACTCTCCTGCCCTCACTGGCTTCAAACCTTTCACTACAATCCTCTCCTCTCACCCTCCTCTGTAGCTCAGGTATGAAAAACTGGTGCCTGTCTCTAGCCTTGACATTTTCTATTTCAAAAGCCAATTTTCACATCTGCTTCTACCATTCTGTAGCAGTCAACCGTTTTTTCTGGCCTTTTAATCTCCCATGGGGCTCCCTCTTCAAGTCTGTGTGACTAAAAGCTGTCCAACTTCATTTCCTAAATATCTCTTAAATCTGCTCTCTTTCCCCATCTCTCTCCACTATCACCAGGAAGGCCAAACTACTAGTATAGATCTCACTGAATTCAGTCCTCCCCTACCCCTACGGTAGCCAATCAATTCCTTCATTCCACCCCCTAAGTCCTTATCCTACCCCTAAGGTCAAAGTTCAGAACTCCTGATATGGACCTGAACAACCCAACCCAGCCCAGTCTCCCTCCAGCCTATGACCTCAATCACAACTGGTCACTGCTTTCCTCACAATGGCCTTCCCTCAATAGCTCTTTTCCAGCATTGTATTTCTTACAACGCAGGACAGTGCCCTCATTTTCAGAGCTCCCCTTCCCCTCTCACTTAGCTAATTCCTACCCATCACCCACCAGACCCACGTCCCAGCACTGATCACTCAAAGTCTCTGACTGCAGCACAGCACAGAAACTGCTACACTTCCTTGCTTTAACTCAACATCTGGATACATACCTAACTGCTGAAATAATAACCTCAGACATGCTCACCTAAGCCTCAATGTGGAAAAAATGAGAATAATACCATCTATCCTAAACAACATCTGTAAAAGAAACAAGAGGCAAGGTGAGCAGATCATTTCAGCCTTGTGCCAGGCAGAGAGGCACATGATATGGAAAGATGCTATACTTAATCATCTCTGTACTTTGGGCACCTAACAGATGGCTAGGCACAAAGCAGGCAGTAAATCTGCCTTTAAGATTGTGACTAACTCCTTCCACGTATAGGCAAGGAAACAAAATGAAGGAATCAACCAAGGGATTCTGTTTTCCAATGACTACCCGTTTTTCCACTGAGCACCTTCCATGACTGCCCCTCTGCTGTCTGGCACCCCTCAACCCCACCTCCACCCTGTAGCCTGGCTCTTACTGGCAGGCTGCTCTAAGGTCACTACAAGGGCCTGGAGGGCGTAGAGTGCTTGCAGCTCCTTCTGTTCGTCACACAGGTATTTCTGTAGCAGTCTCGCTCGCGCTTTCAGCACTGCAACATCCACTCGGAGAGGAGTCTCAACTGTAGAAAAGAAGACAGCAGTAAATGGAATAACTCAAACTTAGCCTGGTTCAGTCCTAGGAAGACAAGACCTCTTTCCCTCCATTATTCTATTGGGCCCAACTCTGCCCCTTCCCATCTCCCTGGCTTCTCTTACAGATAATTGCAGAATAGCAGACAGTTGTCATGAGGGCTCGAACTAATGTATTGGATGCTATCTGTTGCTCATTTAGGTTGGCCTGTACAAGAGAAATAAACAGCCCGTAAGTTCTGAATCATGTCCAGTATGTTTCCACTCTTTTAACACTGACTTATCCCAAGAAATATCTTTCCTTTACCCTTCCCAACCTCCAGGAGAACTGTACCTCTATCCAGTCGAACACCCGCTGGTTACCGTTGCCCTCCTTCAGCAGCTTCTCCAGCTGCCTTCTGAGTTCCTCGAAAGCAAGTGCCCTCTGCCCAGGAATTTCAGGCTCCTCTCCCAGGGTATACTCTACCTTCTGCAATCAAAAGGCCCCCCCCCAGTGAGAGGTCAAGTGCATGGTGTGAAAGATAAGGGAAGTGGCCAGCCTCAAATGTTAGAATTAAACAAATCCTAGCCTCAAACCTGTTCAGCAATGAATGCACCAACGTCCTGGTCTTCAGGTAGAAATTCCTTCCAGCTGAGCCCAGCCTCTCGCCACAGCATCCCCACCTTTTTGGGACCCTGGGAAACACAAGATTCAAGAAATATTTTTCTCCAAAACTCCAACATTTTCAGAATAGTCATCCACCATACATTTTCCAGTGAAAGCCCACCAGTATAACTAAGAATGCTACATAGATACCAAACAGGCTGTGCCTTGCCTAGTGCACAGCATTCACTAAGAACTCATCCAGTACACAACAGTGCTGACACAGGGTTAAGGAGATGACTTAGAGGCCACTAGGGAAAATGTCAATTAGCTTTGTAAAACTCTCAATACTCAAATC